GCTTCTTTATATTAAAGAATATTAAACACATAATGAGCAAATCACAGGAAAGTTTAGCCTTGGACTTCAACAAACACTTTTTTATGAACGCTGTCATTAAATCAGGGGCTGTGCTCATGCTGCATACATTACCTGTATAAACGAAATCTTGCCCAATTCAAACCAAAGTCTATTGATCTCTTAGGCCATAAATCTAAAGAAAAACATGTTTTACCCATAGACGGCCATCCAACCTGGCAACAATGCACGTAGGATGGCAAATGTTAGCCATTAGATGCAAAACCCCATCATGCACCGCAACATAGTTTTGCAAAATATTCAAACATAAATTACCCAAATATAAGAGGAACATCGTAGTATGGTTTAAAGAAAGCATTTTAGTTTTATTATAATTTAGTTTGTTGCAAGGATTTTACACTTTGAAGAAATAGAAAATTACACCATATGCCAACCGTCACAAGGATGTCCATGACAAGGAAGGGCTATATATATACTGCATGCCACATTTGTCAATTAAAATTGTATAACTGCTTGAGCTCCTTGAGTTATTTACTGTCACAGGTAGGTGCTTTGGCCGGAGTGTAAGTGTTGGGACTGGGCTTGCACGCTGAAATTAGGACTGGCCCACAGTATCACAGATTACCATTCTGAGCCTGCACCAAGGGGTGTGTTTCCTTCTAACTCTTTATGTTTATATACATAAATGACTGAACCCCAGTGGACCTGTCTGTGAAACTTCTGAATTTTGCAGACAGCACCACTTCTGTTGATCAGACCCAAGAAATGATGGGTTTTCATAAATGCAGGAGATTTAACCACTGTTTCACCCGTGCGTTCATAACCACCATGAGCTTAACCAGCTCAAGATAAGCAGAGAAGCCAATAGGCCTCCAGGGAACATCCTTAGAACTCCTTCCCTTCACTTTCACAAAAACCCTGTGTCTTCTGTGGATCACTTCCAGTTTGAAGGAGTCATCCTTCCTTTGAGGCTGAGCTCATCGTCACATGCAAAGAGAGTTTGGGAGAGGGCCCAAAAGAGACTGTTCTTACTGTGGAAACTCAAGACTTAGTTACAGCCTTCCACAGAAGCTGCTGATCATCTTCCACACTGCCATCATTAAGGCTGTCTAAGTTCATTCATCACTGTGCGATTTAGCTATTCCACAAAAAACCAGCCTCCTCAGAGACAGGCTGTCAATCTGAAACACACCTAACAGTCAGATAGCACAGAGGAATTTCATCCATATTCACACTAATTTAACCATGTCTTTTCAATTTGTTGAAACCCGCTCTATGTATACACATTTACACAGAAAATGGTTTATACTGTCTTATAAATATTTAAATTGTCATCGTATAGAGCAGGGTGAACAGATGTCATATTCCTTGTTTGTTTGCACAAGATTTGATGAAAAAAAAATTTAAAGGGTATTCTGATTTGTCCATTTTTTTTCCTTTCATACAACGGCTCTATTTCTACTATAGTGCAATGGCACCTCCTGGTGGTTGGTGGCTCCTGGTAGGAGCTCCTTAATATGCACCTGGTGTCAAATAGGGTTTTACAGGGGCACATAAGCGTCGTTAGACCTATTTAAGGGTGGCTTCAGTCACCCTTTCTTTGGCATTAGCCACCCTATAATTATTTTGCGATTTTAAAAAAAATATTTTTTTTTCTATATTTATTTTTTCCTCATATTTTCCCAAAACAAATGCAGTAAAGCACCATAAAGAAGACAAGTTAATCTGAACAATCATAGGCGTAACTTCCTTAAGGACTGGTGTGGACATGTCCCCACCAATATTTTGTACACATATTTTGCTTTCGGTGCTGTGTATATCTGATTAAAACCCCATTCATGCCGCTCCTCAGAAAGAAAATAAAAAAAAAACTTCTCCCCGCTGCTCACCGTCCACAAACCCCGACAAAAACTCAGAAAAAAGAATCTGTTGCCTCTCGCTTTCTCCCCATCACCCCCCTCCAACCTCACCCCATAACATTTGATATCCGCGGGTGACGGGTCGGGTTCGGTAGTCATTCTAACGGGTTCGGGCGGGTGCGGGTTGGTAAAACTCGATCCATGCAGGTCTCTAAGCTACACTACATTCAGTATCGTTGCCATAGAAACAGACAACAGCGCCAATATATCAGAATTATACTAAAACACACGCAAATAATTTCCCACATAAAAAACAGGACTTTCAGTCCATTACAGTTTTCCGTTTTTAGAGGGTTGTTTATTTTGCGTTTATTAAGTGATGGCTGTGGTATATTAGCTTTCACTGCTATAAGCTTTCGCAGCAGTGATTGATTTAAACACCTGCTCTACTGATGGTCTATCGGAGTTGGTGTTTAGGTTGAACATAAAGAACACCTTTTATTTGAAGCTTCTTGTAGCTACTGTTTTAATCCCGGCTTTACTTAAAACTTTTTCCTGACTTTGATAGTGTTGCCATTCAGTAGCAAGCACTGCGCCCCTTTTTTCTTTTATATGTACACGTACATTTAAGATTTAGCGTGTTATGATGACAACTCATGAGCAAGCTGCTTTTTGCAATCTAGCAGGAAGGTAAGGATAGGATCTTGCAGGTGTGACGTCACTCTGCAGGGGGTCCAAAGATAAAAGATTTAAACAATTTTGGCATTGGAATTTCAGATTTAAGGGAGTTAGAAAGTTCACTTAGTAAAAGTGCAAATAATAAATCTGATTACCGATTACTTTTAAGCTGGTTGAACATACTGCGACAGACTGGTGACCTGTCCAGGGTGATCCCACCTCTCACCCAGAACGTGGCTAGAGATATGCACCAGCACCTCCTGATCCCACTGAGGGATAAGGTTAAAGAAAATGGATGGTTGAACATAGTCCGCTCTCCCAGATTCTATCAAATCAGTATTGATACCCTCAGGGGCGGATTTAGGAAATTTGGGGCCCTAGGCAAAGACAGGCAGGGGGCCCCCTGAGAAGAAAACCCATAAAACAGACCCATTCTACAGATAGAGAAATGTTAATAGAATAGACATCCATTATTTGTTCTAGGTTTTGTCCCTCTCTTCTTGTCCCTTTTTCCTCTCTATTTATCAGCGTTCTGATGGCATTTTAGCCAAAGGATTTTTATCAAAAACATAATTAATGTGCACAAATAAGGATTAGTTGTATTAACCATACATGGAAACAGAGTTTTATGGGGCCCCCAGAACTTGGGGCCCTGGGCAACTGCCTAGTATTGCCTAATGGTAAATCCCCCCCTGGATACCCTGCTGGTGGATGTTCTTGACAGAAAGACGGAGTTGCTTAATCATATTCTGCTTAAGGTCCCATGAGATCTTGTCCGAGTCCTGGTTTAAAAGTAAATTAATTTTAAAAAGTGACCCAAAATTGACTGTCAATAAATGTTCTACAAAATTGATATATTTATTTGATTTCTTTGATTTGTACTGTCTGTTTAGATTTATGTGATATTTTTTGCACAAAATATATAAGTGAATATTGTAACAGTTATGTTTTCAACTGTAAGCATTAAATTGATAAATGTTATTCGCATTTTTTTGGCTTTATCCTTTCCAACAACAAAAAAAGGCGTCGCGCAGGTAGCTCCCTTTCCTTATGAGCCGTCCCCACCAACTTTCAACACAAAGTTACACCCTTGTCTTAGACAACGCCTTAGCAGGTGCACTGAAAAAATTCGGCGCGCGCATAGCGCGCGCATTATCTTCTAGGGGCTGAGCCACCCTTGTCTCTTAAACCTAGAGACGCCCCCCATAATTAAAATAAAACAAACACAATAAAAATGTATATTTAGAGAGCCAGGAAGGTATACTTGCAGACTCCTGATCTAGATGAAAGCTTTAGATGTCTCTTAAAATGCTGAAGCTTAAAGGTGACTGTAATCTTTAAATTTGAAATATAACACTTGTTTTGATTGACTTTAATTCACTAAGCAAGAGCAGAATATGTTACATTATTATTTGTTTGTATTTTTATTTTTTTAGATTATTCTCAAAATAAGTGCAATTATCTGCCAATGCAGTAAGACAGTCACACTTTGTAAGACTTCTTATTATATATTTTCAAAACAAGAAGTATATTAATTTCAAAACAATATCAAAAAGCCAGATCTAAGATTGTAAGACTTGGATACATGGACACCTTTTGCAGTGCAGTCCTTTCTGTAAGCACATATCATCATAAAAAAAAATGTTTATATTACATGGCAAAATCAGATCTAAAAAAGTAACATTTTATTAAAATAAGCATAAGCACCAGTTCTACACGGGTGCTGGCCCCTGTTGGTCCCTGACTAGAACTGCCAGTGCTGGTAAATTGGAAGTAAATCTTCACCAAGTCTACAAAAGGTTGTTAACCAACCATTTGTGTCTATCTGCTAGAACTTTATGCTGTTTGATCAGAAATACGCCTGGGGGATTGATTTTAATTTATTTTGCCCATGAGAGTGATATGAATAACTTATTTCTGTTATTTGGGTGGGTGAGCAAAAACCCTATCAGAATATAACTAACCTTTCAAAAGCCAAGCTGTGCTGAATAATAGACTACAGTTATATTCTCAATATCACAACAAGCTTGCTGAAGCCTGTCATGGCTGAAACACCTCTCCCTAACACCAGTCACAAAACTGAATTAAAAGCAACCATTCTGCACATGAAAGCTCTATTGAAAAATATTCACAATATATGTCAGTAATCCTACCTAATGTGCGTTTTATGCATATGTATTCCATTGCTAATATTAGTTATTAGAAAAAATGCCTTTTTAAATGTACCTGTAAATTGCTAGTTCAAAGATAAATGTACCCTCTTCAGTGATCAATGGGAAATAAATTATTTTTGTAACAGAAAAAATCTAATCTTTAATAATAACTGCTGGCATGTTAAAATTAGAGAATTATAGATGAAAAAAGAATTTGCCACTCAAAAGATGGCGGACACGTTGACGTTTCGTTTCGGGTGGCGCCACCGTTTGGCAGGAAGCCTTCTGAGCGGAACGATGGTTTAGTGTCTTGTTTCCTACGGGTTGGTGGAACCGATTTTAAACGTATGCATTTTACCCAGAAGAATCTTTTACATGTGTGCCTTATTTGGCTTTTTCCATCAACAATAGAGTTATGCTGGGATATCTATCAGCACCAAAATGTTATCGATATGTTTATGGATTCTTAAAGCACCGTGTTCAAACAAGCAGACGTAGACACTTCTCTGAATCCTACGTTTTAGATGAGCAAATCAGAAGTTTTATATCAGAGAACACCGAGGTGGTTGTGGGATCGAGTCTGACGCCTGAGATAAAACTGAGATTGTTAACCCCTAACTGCAGGTTTTGGAGAGAAAAACCAGAACTCTGGCCTTTTACTGACCCATACTGGGCAATTTACTGGCCAGGTGGACAAGCGCTTTCAAGGTCCTACACAATCACCCCTTTAAATAAAGTTTATCTGGATAAAAAAAAAAAAAACCTTAATCTATAGTCGTTTCTGCATTCTTCTGGCAGGTACATCTTGGACAACCCTAATGTTTGTCAAGGTAGAGCGGTGCTGGATCTGGGGAGCGGGTGTGGAGCCTCATGTATTGCTGCAAAGCTCTGTTCTGCTGCTTATGTGGTGGCCAATGACATCGACCCAGGTATGATGCCCAACCATCTATATTCTTTTTAATTTAATTTTCATATTTTATTTAATTTTTTTTTTTTTTTTATCCTAATGTAGTGTTTTTCTTCAATAGATTCCAGGTCAGGTGACTCACAGACTCAAAACCTGTCTGAAATTGTTCTAATAGAGAAGGCACACTCATTTTAAGTCTTTATATATTTTTTAAAGTTTTAAGGTTGTTGTTACTACTGTGCTTGGTCCCTCCTTCCTGTCGCCTCTATGGCAACCCAGTCCTATTGGGTATTAACTCAGATAGCAATACCAAAATTTAGTATAAAAATAGGAAAATTTATTTCAGATTATCAGTATGCACAGGGGAAATGTTTGCAATATTATTAGCTTTACAATGGGTAGAAGACATAAAACCATTAAAAACATAAATTTGTTCAGATTCAAGCTCTGCATTATTAAGTTTAAAATATAAGCAATCAGGTATGATGATTAATAGTAGGATATCTAATGAATATTAGAAATATTTCACACATTATTAAGAATAAAAAATATGGGTTTGATTGTATTTGTATGAGTTCTAGGACATATTGGAGTAGAACGAAACGAGAGGGCAGATTAAATTGCGAAGACAGCAATTCAAAATCCTATTAGTTTTACAGTTAAAACAAGTAAATCAGAGGTCAAGCGTATTATTAAAGAACAATAGATGGAAAAATGGCACAAAAAAAGAGAGAGTAATCACAAGGTTAAGATTTGGGCATACAGGACTTAATTATACACTTTTCAAAATTAAAAAGCATGCTGCTGGCAAATGTGATTACTGTGGAAAATATGAATAGAACATGTTATACTGGACTGTCTTAAATATGAAAGGGAGAGAAGATATATGAGGAGAGAGTTTGAATGTATTGAGGAAAAGATTAATTTATTGGATATTTTGAGGAAGAATTTGGGGAGTAAACATGTACAAATAATTATTCAATTTTTAAAGAAAACAAAATTATTTCATAGAATTTTGATTATAGAGAGGGTGAATGTCTGTATGATATAGACTGGTAGAATACAAAGCTATGTATAGTTATTTCGTTTTTTTGTTCCTTTGAAATTATACATATGTTTATTAAGTAGATAGTCCATCATGACCCACACTCCATACCAGTGAGTTGTAGTAATGCAACTAAATGTTTGTTGCCAACCGCCAATAAATCCAAGAAGAAGAAGAGGGTAAGGAGAGTAGAACTGCAGAGAGGATCATTGGGGCTTCTCTCCCCTCCATAAAAGACATTTCCTCCCTACACTGCGTGTCCGAAACCCGTAACATTATCAATGACCCCTCACACCCCCACCAGAGGCTTCGGAGCATCTGATGCAGGTCCAGGAGATTCCTGAACAGATTCTTCCCCACCACCACCAGACAGCTGAATGTTGTATAAAATGTGGTTTCAAAAAAAACAAAAACAGTGCTGAATTTTGAAAACTAAATCATATAGCAGTCTTATGTTTACAATTGATCACCATGTTTACATTTTATCACTGCTGCACTTTAGAAATGGAAATATCTTGAGAGCTTTGAGCAACATTTCTTTTTGTATACACTCTGTGTTTACAAAATGACAATAAAGTCTGTCTAAGTCTAACTCTACATGTTCCTAACATTTCAGACAGCAAAGTGTCTTTTGCTGTCTGAAATGTTAGGACATGCTTGTCAAATCAAGTAATGAGTATCATGAAAACATATAGCTAGAGAGGGCCGGGTTGAAGGACAACACAGAAGCGCTGATCATTGCAGCATAGGAGCAGGCACCCCTAGCTGGCAAGCTGCGTGGCCTCAAACTCCACCGCCTTTTGTGAGATAAATCGGGAAAGTAAACAATAGAAAGCAACATGTAAGAAATTTAGTGCATAGTAACCTTCTCTTCTACTTAAAGTCCACACCCTTTGAAAAAAAAAAAATATTAAAATGAAAATTACTTATAATTTAATGATAATGTGTGTGACTCATTTGTATAATCTAGTAACAGGATTTACTATTGATTTTGCTTCAGTGGGCCACAAGACAAGGTCCACATTTTTGTCTTTCAAGAGTGTTTATTTCAGAAATCTGTTCACCATCTATACCCTACCACCTTCTCCTTTCAGTATTGTTGGATGGGTGGGTTCCTGTCGTTGTTTGTCATTGCATGAAATGCAGTGAGCAGCTATTTGCTACTTCATAGCATTTTTTCTATCTGCTATTTACAACCCTTATTTTGCAGTAAGGAAATTAGCCTTGTTCTATAATTAGTAATATCTTTTTAAAATTTGCCTAGGTTGGAAATTCGGCTTTTTTAAATCTCCTCTAAAGTTTTTATTTGTTTTTTTGTTCTCATTTGACAGCCTGAGGGATTTAGCTGCAACTTTCATTTGTTGCACACAATAACTAAGAGGCACTTTGCTGGTAACGGTTTCTCTGATTGTTCACTGAGGCAGACATAGTTTAAGTGAAATGCACACTTCATTAGCAGCGTTTCTTAGGTCTTAAAACCTTGTTTTCATTTTGGAAAAAAACCTTATTTGTATTTCTGTCTTTACTAAAATCCCATTTAAGTAGAATCCATAGGTTAATGACACAGTAGCAGTCACTAATTCCCTCTCCTTATCTTCAAATGTTCTTGATCTCCACCTTGCTCTTGTGAGAAATACAATAACAAACAAATAAACATGCTGGTATTGCATGACACTTGAAGCAAAGTTTGTGGCTTAACAATAATAAATTTAAAGCAACAAAAAACTTACAAAGGGAGACTGTTTCTCTTAGAACTAGTTTAAAAATGCTTACATAGGCAAAACAACATATAAACTGCAGCTGTATGATATGATTTTAATCAAGCGCTTTGCTTTTTTAGATTTTTTATTTATGATATGACAGACCTTTTACAAATATCTGGATTTATTTTCCTAACTTTTCTAAATGCAAAATAAAGACCATTCTATCGCCATGGCAACATCTATGCATGATAAAGTGTAAAATAAAGAAAAATAATGTAAGCCCAGACACCACCAATAATATATATCTTTATGCCAGCTTTTTCTCTTGTGTGTGTTTTTATGTGCACTTTTTGAATAGTAATCTTTCAGTACTTGTTAACTAAAGATTGTACTCTCTTTATCAAAATTTTCCCAAACATTTTTAACGTTACCGCATGGACAATTAGCCAATCCATCACTTGGTACCATTTTAACAAATGTCTTTCTAATGTATAGCAGAATATACAGGTCCAAAATACAGCACAGCAAAGTATACAATGCAAGTATAGTCATGAAACAGGGAAACAGGGACATAAACTTTCACGTGTTTTAAAATTACTTTATCTCTTAAATAGCATAGAGTCACTGACCAGTCCATTATAAAGTATTATAAAGGAAACTCATGTATCAAATGCTGTAAATTTTTTAGAACAACCCAAACCTCTATCCATCTCAGCCTCTGCAAAGCAGAAAAAGAAAGGAAACTCTTTTTACAAACAAGCTGGAGATGCAGATCCACAGACGAATGGCGCAGGAGGATCAGAACGTAGGACAAATTTGTCCCATGTCTTTCAGCAGCAGTGTGAAGTATATGTTGGTTAGGTCACCCAACAATACAGCACATCCTCTGGGAAACACTCTGATCAATAAAGGCGTATTTTCACATGTGATTACTTTCTTCTCATCAGGTCCATATCAATAAAGATTGGTGCCTCCATGCGGGAGAATCAAAGCCAATGGAAGCTCCTATATGCTTCAGAGAGCATGCTATGGATTCTCAGTCTGTAGCTCTTTAGGATTCAAAGAAAATCTGTTCTAAACCTGGTTCTTTAATGAAGTAAAGTATGTTCTCAGATTATGCAAAAAAAGGAAGAAAACATCTTTAGGTTAAAAAGAATCATTGATATAAGCATAAATTACAGAGGAAGCTTTACCTTTCAGGCCGACCTGACCACTGCTCTGATAAACAGCAGTGGCCTTGATGTCATGCTTTCACTCCTACTTATAGGAACACCCTCTTAGCACTCATTTCCCAAGATCTAAAGCAGCAGCATCCACCTCCCAGACCACAGCCTATCCAAATAAAGTAACGGAAAAGAGTGGTAAATCACAGGTCATGTTGCCCCGCACAGTTTCCAAAACAGAAAAACTATTGAAGTTAACAACCCTTCCTACATCTAACAGAGCATACAGATAACATTTCCTACATCTGTCTTTTACACATCCCTCTTTGGATTCATTTTATAATTCTTTATTTTGCAGATGATTATTTTTACACAATTAAGTATAGATGATTTTTATTTATTTTTTTCCACCAGAAGAGAAAATATGTGTAATATCTGTTGGTTTAATTTGAAAAACAGTTATAAGCTGTAAAATATGTAAATGTTCAGCCATTTTAGGCATCTGGCAGAAAATTCTGCTGTAGCGTATCTAAACTTACTGTCTGTGTTACAGTTGCAGCCGTCGTCACCAAGATGAATTGTGAACTGAACAATGTAGACCCACCTGTCTGTGTAACCGACAACATCATTGGTTCAGATGCCTCCTGCTTCGACTTGATCCTCCTGGGTGACATGTTCTACGATGAGGCCCTCGCCGACAGCCTTCACAGATGGCTGGACCGCTGTATCGAAGACAGCGGCACCAAAGTTCTGATCGGGGATCCTGGGAGAGCCCATTTTGAGGGACATGGCATCCGGAAGCTCCTGCATCATCTGGCCCAGTTTGAATTGCCTAAAAGTGTCAGGGAGCAGAACTATGGCCTCATATCCAGCCATGTTTGGTGTTATAATAGAAAACTATGATAACCTTCAACCTTTTGAATGCTTGATTTGATTAATTTTTCATAATCATCTGAATATGTCTCCTGGTCTAGAATTAGTAAGGGGCGAATCAGGAATCAAGACATTTATAAGAAATTCTGTAGCAGAAAAAATATATTTAAACTGGGGAAACCTTATTCAAGCACTAAACGTTACATGCCAGAAACACTATCTATGGTTCAGAAATGCTCATGTTGATACATGATTATTTTATACAAGGCAAATCAAGCCCTGCAGTTTTTTTCTTACTTTTCACAGGCATATAAACTTGCCAGAACTGGTTATTCATCTGCTGATTCATATACCGGTAATCAAATTAGACGTTTGATGTGATTATCTGATCTGCAGGTGTTCCTAAACTGGTTTTGATTCATGAACATTCAATGGAATTAACGCTTTAATGTGACTAACGGTGTCTTAAAACTGCAGTACTTACCAATTGAAGTGTTTTAAAATTTTCTTGTGGTTTGAATTTGATCACATTTTGAAATTCTATTTTTTTTTTTTTTCAAAATTTCAATGACCGTGATCTCTGACTCGGTTACAACATCAGTTCCTTCAGTAAATAACGAAAACACATAATTGGTGTTTTACAAAATAAGCTAATACTGTGCTTTGATTTTTGAGGTTAAAGTTTCCCCACTGAGATAAACTGCATTGTGGATATGTGTGGAAAAATAGAAATAATTGCTATTAATAATTTACTAAGAATCAGTGTTTAAAAAAAAAAATCATAGATCAATCTCTCTGCCACTTTATGTGATTGGTCAATTTTTCTACCCAGCTGCCCTTCGTCCATATGTATATCCATCCATCCTTGTTTCTGCTCCTCTATATATCAATACATTTATTCTATCATGCATTTCCTCTTTTAAAAATCTCATTCATATAATTCACAGTCTGGTAATTTATCTTGCTGTCTAATGTATAGATAATTGGAGTTCTCCTTAAGTGAACAGACTGTTGAAACATAAAAGGCTTGCATTGTGAAAGATTTTGCTTTTAAGAGATTAAACATGATACGAAACAGATGTGTTTCCAGTGAGGAAGTTCTTCTGTCAAAGGAAGTCGGTCAGAGCCGTAGGTCACGGAAAGGGCAAGTCAGCTTGTGTGTGTTGGAAAGCTTGATAATCGGTCCTTTTGCTAATGACTTCTACAGCCTGGCTGACCCTGTCTCTCTTAATGGAACAATACCAAGGCATGTTTAACTTCCACATACATGTATTTGATGCCTCTGAGGCAATGTGCAGATATAATACTCTCAAGTACACGTGCACATCCCTTGCATGTTTTGTGCACACAAATTCATTTCCATGAGAGGTTATAATTTGTTAGAAAAATGTATATGTTATCATTTTATTTCAAGTTACAGGGATTTGGCCAAGGAATGCAAAGTATTGTTCTAAATGAGGAGAGCAAATATTTCTCTCAGGGCCTGGTATTACCCAGCTATTCAGCCGTAGGTGACTGATAACATCTGCCCCCTCCTGGTAACATCTGACCCCTCCTGGTAACATCTGACCCCTCCTGGTAACATCTGACCCCTCCTGGTAATGTTTTACCACTCCTGTAATTCCTTTGAAGTCCAATAATAAAAGCAGCAGAAAAGAGAGGTTTGGGCAGAGTTGACATTGGATTACAGAATTAAGACCCTGGTGAACATGATGATGAACATCAATAGGGACAAAACAAACAATTAAGTGAAATGCGTTTAATCGTACTTCAAAACAGAACGGTTCTGGACATGTTAACTGCTAGCCAAGGCGGTGTATGTGTGATGATTAAAACATCCTGCTGTACATACATTTCTGATGCTAATGAAACTCATGTTACTGAAGCTATGTCTGCCTTAAAGCTGAAGTCTGTAAGTTTTTAAAAATCACTTTTTTGTCATATTGGCTTAAACTGTCCCTATGCCCAGACAGCAGTACATGTGATATGTAACCTGTGAAAATAACTGCTTCAATTGGTCCCGCCTACTGCCTGTATTGCAATCTGGAAAGAATATTTCGGGACGAGACAAAACAACCAATCACAGCCAGAGGAGCGTCTGATGGAGTGTCAATCACAGCTCACACACGCTGAATCACGCCCCCTCCCTCTCGCCGCTGAACCAGCCGCTGCCGCCCGGCTGCCGCAGTCAGGAGGACGCGCGTGGAAGTCATGGCGGAGCGACAGCCACCAGCGAAAAATAAACTGCCCTTACTGCCCCTGCCGACAATTGCTTACACGGCAAAGACTTCAAAAAAGAAGATGTCAATGGAAGAGAAAAAATCAAAAAAGAAAGAACTCGACCGAGTAGCCGCGCAGATGCTGTGAGAGGGGTGGAGCTTGGAGGTGGGGCATGAGTGAAGCAGAGAGGGTTGGGGAGTGGCGTGAAACCTGTTTTTCTTCAAATTTTCAGTCGAAGTCTGCTCTCTTCTCAATGTAACAGACTGCAGCTTTAAGGAATCTGCAAAAAGCCATGTCCCAGGATGCTGTTCCTCTAAGAATGGATTTTCCTCTCCTGGCTTATGTCAGGACCATGGTGGCACTTTTTGCTGAAAATAATGACACTGTTTATTGTTATCCTTTTCCTTTTTTGTGTTTTCACTGCATGTGTCATCCCTTGCCTAAAATCTATGGTTGCTATAACTATGGGAAATGTAATGTTTCAATATCGAATGCTTTCATAAACCCCTCTAGAAGAAGTGAAACTGGTAGTTTAAGTTTCTCTTGTTAAATGCTTAACAATATGATAGTCTCTTTGAAAATGCAGAAAGCAAGTAATGAGTACTTGAAGTCGGCTAAAGTTAAGCTTAAATTTTAAATAAAATAAACAGGAGCGAATTGTTAGAAAAATGTATATGTTATAATTTTATTTCAAGTTACAGGCATTTGGCCAAGGAATGTAAAGTTACTAAATGAGGAGAGCAAATATTTCTCTCAGGGCCTGGTATTATCCAGACATGCAGCGGTAGGTGACTGATGACATCTGACCCCTCCTGGTAACATCAGACCCCTCCTGGTAACCTCAGACCTCTCCTGGTAATGTTTAACCACTCCTGTAATCCCTTTGAAGTCCAATAATAAAAGCAGCAGAAAAGAGAGGTACAGGCTTTTCAAGGGGTCTCATCCTTGGTCTGTTCTCTCTCTCTCTCCTGCAGAAAAGAATGTTTGCTTTGTTTGGTTATCATTTCAGGGACAATAACTGGTTATTTTTATTAACCCTATCATAATAAGACTAGCATTCTTTGTGGAGAGTGTGGAAGCCTTGTATGCGTTGACCAGTGTTGTGCATGAACCCCTTCAATGAACAGTGTTCACTGAATCCGTTCATATATTTAGTAAACAAATATATGAACTGATCAGTTTTTTCAAGTAATGAACATGAACTGGGAGACGAATCATCAACACACACTGCTCATGTTTACATTCAATTGATAACGACCCTTTTATTGAATAATGTCAACAAGGTTTTACAGCACTTATTACAGTAAACAGCATGACAGGCCAGCATGTCTAATACTAGTGCTATTCTGCGCAATTCAGACTTATCTGCTGGTATTTGTGATGCCAGTTTTGCATAGCGCTTGGCAGAGTTTTATGAACTAAGAAAGGAAGACTAGGACAGAAAAAAATTCATGTTTTTGTGCAAACCGTGACCACTGGGACTTAACAAACAAGTCTGTACGTTAGCCACATCCGCTTTAAATTTAAAGTGACACATCGAGTTAAAGTATCTGAGATATCTTGGGAAATATCTGCCATTGAATAAGGAACGAAAGAAATCATTTTTGATACAGATCTTTTCAGCAGAACCCGAATGTTCCTGTTTGTTTCTGAAGTTCTGTATAATTTGGCTAAATAAAGGCTTCACTTGACATACAGTATACCCTGACTGCATCCAGTATTTTCCATTTCTTTCCATATGTTATGATCACATATTTAAAGGATAAAACATGAGTTTCTATTTGTAGGGTTGTTTCTCGTGAACCAAATGAACTTCAACTAGTTCATTTATAGGTTTGTGAACTTAGTTAATTTTTGAAAAACTGAACTATGAACGTGAAGTAGTTCATTTTCATCTGTGTAAACTGAGCTTTGATCTAGTGTTTTTTTAAACTATGAACTGGCATAATATTGGCATTGACTCTGTGAAGATTTTGGAAGATCCTTAGAGTCTTCATGCCATATTTTACAAAGTATTTATTTTTAACCAGCTTAGTCTGGATCTGTCCCTTTAAATCAGAATTCAATCTTTTTTGTTATTACTTATGAATACTTTACTGTAAATATCTGTATTCTCTATTCAGTGATTATTTCTATTTTTGTAATTTAGTTTTCTTTTTTCAGTGTAAGAAAGCTTTTTAATTGCATGGTTGGTTGTTTTTAATGCAATAAATAATCATATAATCAGCATATATTCTGTCATGTTAGCCAAATCATCTGTTCCTTTTTGTTATGTCTCCTTAACTCTCACTTAAAATGTCACCTGCTACCCCTCCCTCTTAGGTTTATTGTAATAACTGTACAGTATTTTGTTGTTTATATTTTAACTCCACTACTTTTTTTTATTCTTATACATTTTTCTAAGGTCCATATTTGTATGACCATTCTTTTATAATTATTTTGCTGCTGTAACAACAGAATTTCCACATTGTGGGACAATAAAGGGAGTTTGTTGGAGTTATTATGATTTCTGTTGTTTTTATAATTTTATTCATTTATATGTTTTATATTGCTCTCAATCATTTGTTTTTTCTATATGTTACTCTCATCAATGGAAATAGTGTATGAAGGTTATAAGACGGTCAAATGTTTTGCAAGAATGCTTTCCTGTTTTCATTTGAGAAGCACAGAAGTGAAAGTTCAGAACCCCGACACATTTTAAAAAGGGTATACTGAAACCAGACAACTGGTAGAGACAATTTTCCATGTGTCTTTAGGGATGGTCACCCCAAGTATAAAATTGATCCCATGTCCCAGTTTATTTTGAATTTCTCTTTGATATTATTACTATGCAAAAATTTGAAAGTAAAAACCTCGAATTTGTG